TTTATTAATCTGTTGATTTCATATGCCATAGTCAAGCTTATATCTTGTTGCTTATCCTCTAGTGTTTTTTCTTGTCCAAAATGGTTATGTTGTAGTTGCTTTGAATCGATTTATTGCGTTTATTTTACACATCAATTTAAAAATAGATGTAAATATGTAAATTATAACTAATATCTCTGTATTTTTTTTTTTAGTTCTGCAGGTCAGGTGGGCTTGATTTCATGTAATATGAGAAATAGCAAGGAATCCATCATTGGCGACACGATTCATTTAAAAAATGAAAATGTTGAAGCAGCCGTTAGATTTCAACCGCAACAGCCAATGGTATATGCAGGTGTATACCCAGCAGATCAGTCAAAGCATGTGGCTTTGCGTAGTGCGATCGATAAACTGGTGTTGAATGATTCAGCAGTTACGGTTAAAGTGGATTCTAGTCCGGCTTTAGGCCAAGGCTGGCGCTTAGGCTTCCTCGGATTACTTCATATGGAGGTATTTTGCCAAAGACTTGAACAGGAACATGGTACGGAACCAATTATTACAGCACCTTCCGTCACGTACCGAATAGTTTTGAAGAATCCAAAATTAATAAAGCAAATGGGAAAGGAAACTTTAGAAATTTCAAACGCAGCTTTGTTTCCGGAGCCTCTCAATGTTAAGGAATACTATGAACCGCTCGTGAAAGGTTTGGTTTTGTCGAAATTTTTTCTCCAAATATTTATTTTTAAATTATCGTTGATTTCAATTTTCAGGAACTATAATAACACCAACTGCTTATCTTGGTCAAATAATTAGTCTATGTGTTGAACGTCGTGGAATACAAGAGTCCTCAACAAATATAGACAACGATCGTATTTTAATGAAATATATACTGCCACTTAGTGAAATAATTTTAGACTTCAATGATCATTTAAAATCAATAAGCTCTGGTTATGCCAGTTTCAATTATGAAGACCATGGATATCATTTAACAAATATCGTGCGATTAGACATTCATCTTAATGGTCGACCAGTTGAAGAGTTTTGTCGCATTGTCCATGTCTCAAAAGCAAACGCAGTAGCTCGGGAAATGGTAGCAAAATTATTGGAACTCATACCGAGGCAGATGGTTCAAATAGCTATCCAAGGATGTGTAAATGGAAAAGTTTTGGCGCGAGAAACTATAAAAGCTTACCGAAAAGATGTTACAGCGAAATTGGTATATTGACGAATAATAATATTGATGAACTATTAATTAATTTTTACTTTTGCAACAGTATGGCGGCGATGTAACTAGACGTATGAAGCTTTTGAGGCAACAATCTGAGGGTAAAAAGAAAATGCGAATGTTTGCTAATATCCGCGTGCCACATGAGACTTTTATCAACGTACTAAAGAGATAGTGTACTATATTTCCAAATACTGCAATAACGGAACTTACATATTAAGAGATACAAATAAATAGGTGGGTAATATTTGCACATTTCTACGTATTGTAGGATTTTCTCTTAGCGAATGGACCATTTTTTTGGATAGAAATTTCGTTTGAGGAAAATATATTCAATTTTAGTTTAATTAAATTAAATTGGTGTGAATTTATTTTTTTTGCATCTTTTTATAGAATATATTTTTTGTTTAGACTGACGGTTTTAATCGGTTACGATACTTATACTTGATTATAAACGACCACATCGCCGCTACCGGAGTGTAGGGAGCATTGAAGCTCTGCCTTTTTTGCACATTTCAACTCTGCTTTGTACGGGAAACACCCGATACACAATAAAGACATTCATACGATAGTCTTTAGCACCTTAGCACCATCTTTTAATACATAAATGTATATACAGCATAATTACTGTATAAATAGCGTTCTGAAACCACCGCAACGATTTTTGAGCCGAGCTCCTCCGTAAATTATTTAAGACATTCTTCAAGCTATTTCTGTTTTGCTTGTTTTTTCCATTTTCTTAGTGGTATTTTGAAGTACACTTTTAAGCTGCTCGGTCATTAAAGCCACTTAGAGGTTGAAAATATGCTAATTTTTTAAATCTTTGGAGGAATGTGGGAAAGGGCATAGAATTTCTATTTAAGCAATTCATTGAACATATATTGAAGTATAAAAAATATTCTTTAATTATTATTTTGTTACAAAATGGCGGTGGTGAAGTCCATTATTTATTCTATGTTTTTTTTTTTTTTTTTTTTGAAAGGCGTCCACGGGAGGACCGATTTCTTCTAAAGGATGACACTTAGAACAAAAGCAAAAAGTTTTATGATCTGCAAACTATGGTGTTAGAAGTACGTATGGATGTATTTTACTTCCGAAAAAATGTATTTTTGAGGCTACCAACAAAATTTTTAATAAAACGATGCAATAATCTGTCCTTCCAGTTTGAAAAATCTGACTTAGAGACAAACGCATTTAAAGTTTTCATTGTACTCAGCGCATGCTCTGAGGCGCTACAGCAAAATAAAAAATACAGCTATTTGAAATTTTTTCCACTGTAAAACCAATTGCATATCATTTTTAGGACCCAAAGGTACCCTGTGCAAAAAAAAATAGCCTCTTTCAATATCCTAGAGTGGCTTTACCTTTTAAGGCGTCATGAAGGGGCCTAGCTCCACGACTTGGATTTGATGAGTTAGATTTTCTCTTGTATTTCTTTTGATTTTAACTGTTGACAATGTTGTTGAAACGTTTTTGTTTGCTTTTAATATCCTTTACCTCGTAACGTAGTTAATTTATATGCTAAACTAACGCCACGTAATCAGGGAGCTAAGCTATGTATTTTTTAGAATAAACAAATATTTATTAAAGTTTATAGATTTATTATTAACTGCTAAATATGTATTTAGTCGTATGATCTGTTAGAAAATTGCTTATTTTGTAAATATATTACAATATATTATTAATGTGAAATAAAATATCTTTTAATGAATAGGTATGTAGTAGAGAACGAAAATTAGCGTGAAATAAAACAACGTTTCACAGGCCTTCTGATTTTTCTATGCGTCTACCTTGCATTCTTGCATTCTTCTCGCTTTGATCTTCATGAATTCGTCTTGCCAGCGCATGATTATTGGATGTGGTTGGTGTCCAAAAATCACCTGATAGTTTCCATGCTCCCCAATCCTCTGCTGTAAATTTAAAGAGTACAAATCATAAAGCAACGCTATATGAATGTAATGGGCTGTAGTCCGGATGGATATACAGCTATAAGCATATATTCAATTGCTATTCTTGTGCCCTGTTGTTTTTTTTTATTGTACCGGTTCGCTAACCCCGATTAGGGACAGGTTTAATCAATCTAAGTCGCCGAGGTTATCGACACAATCCATCTCTTTATATGTCCCATAAAACCGACACATCTAACCCCCCTCTCCGTCTGGACCGACCAGGTCGAAACAGCTCGTTTCTTGGACCTCCCGTGAGATGACCCCGGTGACCTAGACTAACTGGCCTGTTCCTAAGCAGGGACAACAACAGGCGACGACTTGGAGCGCGCTTTCGCTAAGCAAATGTGCTTTTAACACTAATTAAAATTAGCCTCCTCAAAGAGACACGATGAACGAAACCGAATAGGTGATTGTGGTGTATACTACAGCGAACATACAAAGGAACGCAAATTTGGTGTTGTATTTGTGGTAACAGAGAGAATCCACCGTTGAGCATTATCTTTCACGTCGGTAGACGAACGTCTTGCTACAATCCTTAGTAAAGCATATGTTTTTTAACCTATGATATCACTGATTTGCGCCCACACCAATGTGTTCAAAAATTGCTTCTATAAGCGCAGCCCAGCCACGTCTAATTATAAGCTCGCAATCGAGAACTCCCGTCGGTGATCGAAAATCATCCAGGTCGAAGGACTATATACCCTATAGCCCACATACACCCGATCTAAAAGCATGAGATTTTGTATTCTTCACTCGTTGTCACCAAAAATCATCAAAATCCTTCAGCTAATTTCTTCAGATATGAGGTTTTGGGTAAAAAAAAAATTCGCCCAAAAAGCATCTCATTGCATGAAATTGTGCTTCTACACACGTACATACATATATACAAAATAAACATTGACAACGAAATCAGAAAACTTCATCCCTCCAACCATTTTTCAGAAATGAAAATTAATATTTATTCCTAAAATGAGATACCAACCATAAAAATGGTAAGGATATGAAAAGTATAAAGACTTCGGCATAGTTGAGGCTGATAGCTCTCTCTCCGTATTATCTTTTAATGAAAAAGGAAAAGATTGTTGCAAAAAAAAAAAATTGCGCACAGGAACTCTACATTCTTTGTACATTATTTTTGCTTCCATATGCTTCTTTTGCTGCAATGTTTTCAACAGCTTCGGGTGGCACATGCAACGACGTCGTGGGACCGGTCCTACTGATATGCGAATCCACCAATTTACTCGTTACGTGCTCATGCATAACATGGACGTTTCTGTTTTTGTTATAGTGAAAACAAATTGTGGCTGGTTTCTTAACACGGTGCTGACTAAGAAGTCTTTTAAAGAAATCCACACATAATTCCCTATTATCAGCTTTCTCTTATCGTCACCACTGTTGAGGTTTATCGGATTCCGTCTGTGTACATTTGTGTTTTTCAATGTTAAAAATATGTTCAAATTTAAACCCTAATATAGCCTAACTTAAAAACAATTGCATATGGGCATACATATGTGCCTATGTATTCACTTACATATACATATACATAATAATAATTTCTCAGACACTTGTAAATCGCAGCTCTCAATTCTGAGAATGAGTTTCAATTGTGTTGGTGAATTAAAGAGAATGGCCGAAGTGTTTCTCTTATTGAGCAAAAATATGTATTAAAGACAGCTGGGTTGTTGTTTATAAATTTGTGATTGCACCAATACTTTGTTATTGTGCAAAACAGCTGATGATGGAGCTTTCAATTGTTGACGCCTCACACGAACATCAACGCAACGAAATTATTCTCCCATAACTAGAAACATTTCAACTGCATATTTATTTGTGTTTTCAGTGTACGTACGAATGGTAACTGTTTGTCATTACAATAATGGCGTTTTATTGAAATTTGAATGAAAGTTATTTCATCATAAGTTCACATTACGTATAGAGAATAGTAGTTTCTTACATAAAATAATGTTATTCGTCGAAGATGGATTATTAATTTGTTGAAAAAAAAACCACAAGCGGCCAAAAGTTTTCATAATTATGTAAACAAAGTTCCATAATAAGATGTCTAAAGGCATAAAACGTACGAAACGATGTAAAGTGTCAAAATAAATCACAAGAAAAAAACTTTACTCTCTAATAATCTTCTTTAATCAATATAATAATAAAAAATATTGTTTTATATTGTCCATTGGTACTATTTAGTACTAATCGTTTAGAAAAGGGAGGTGAGGTGGTGCTTAATTATTTTGCCATTTCATTTCCTCATTCACTTGTTTCTTTGTTCATTTCTCTTCGATGTCGTTCGTATGTTGAATGCCATTTAGAATTTTAACATTGTTGATTTCTCATTCATGGTTACTTCGTTCGGCAAGTTGCGGCTAAAGTGAATTTAACACAGATAATGCAAGACACACATACATACATACATACGTGTACTTGTTTATCTCCAAAAGGAAAAATAGTTATTAAATATTATCGCGGTTTGCAATAAACAAATATTCAAATATAGCTTCTTTGAAGATATTTACAAAAACATAAGAGAATATTATTTGTGACTGTAAAACCTGAATTCAGTAGTAGGCAAATTATAATTCCAAGTTGTTTATTTGTTTATTTAATTATTTATTTATGTATATTCACATGTAGGAACATACATATAGATTCGCATATATACATGTATGCATATATGCACAAATGTTTAAATGTATCTATGTATATATACACAATTGATTTTATTTGTATATGTTTGTGAAATGTTGACGTATGCGACTTAGTTATCAAGTTGAATCCCACTGACTATCTATATCTGTACATATGTATGTACATATATACATCATCGCATAGGACACTGGTTGTAAAACAAAATATTATACATATAGCAATGACAGCTACAATCAAAGGCCCTTTAGAAATGAGAAAATGAAGAAAGTTGAGATAAAATGTAAAATGTAATAAATTACGCTGCGCTAGTCAAAAATATTGGCAAGTGAACAGACCTATCTATACATAGTAAAGTCATTTGTTGTACGTTTAAAATTAAATTAAAAAAATCATCATTTTGATTGCGGATGCCCTAGTATGTATAGCTCTGGTGTGGAATAGAAAGTTTGTCCTTTTAATTCATCAGCTGTTGGAAAAAATGCATATTACAAATGGGAGGAGAAACTCTGCCGAAAATCGAACTGTAATTAAGCGCTAACTACATAATTGTTATATACTATGAACTATATTTTGATTTTACTGCGAAAAAAGGGAAGGCTTAGGCTTAAGAGATCCGCCCACCGTAGATGCTTGAAAAAATTCCTCGAACCTTCTAGATTAGTGAACAAAAGGTCTTATACGTGCCCGACAGCGATTTCATTGAACTTAAGAGCTCTTTTACCGCCGCCCCGATATATTTATATTTTGTGTGTCTTAAAAATTTTAAACACATTTTTCTAGAATCATGTTTTTTGGATTGGCTCACAGCATAACTAAAAAAAATGTTCAAGATTTTCAATTGGCTTTTCTCTTACACCTTTTTATTATTATTTCAAAGAGAATGGCATACGCGGTGTTCGATAACCTTATTTAAACAATGTGTATAAACAATTAGGTGCAGTTTTTTGGTCGAAAAATGCTTTTAAATTTCACAAAAATTAAAAATAATAATAATAATCTGATAATTATGTGAATTGAACAACACGATTAGCCCTTTTCACTTCTATGTAATCGGTTCCTTATAAATTCCAAAAATAATTCTTATTTCAAAAAATAGTGATACTCGGAAGTTAAAAGTAGCATTCTTGTTAAAAAACTATATACGATATATCTATGAATAACTGACATTTTTGATGCGATGGATTTTCCGCCGAGCTCCTCCTACAATTTGTTGTGTCTGTCTTGATGTTTTTCCAACAACTCATTCTAAGCGGTCTCCGAACGGCAAATTGATTAATATTAAAAGATTTTTTATTTAAATTTTAGAAATAAACTCAGGATTTGATGTTCACTGTCACCAAATAAACATTTTTTTCTTCGAAGATAAGCTCCCGAGTACGCGGAATTCTTTAAGGTAAGGAGTCTATCTTTTGACAAAAAAAATTGCAACTAAGTGAGCCACGAAAAGATCTTATAAAGATAAAACGGACATAACCTTTGTTCATTGTCTCCTATTTAATAGAAAAATAAAATAAAAAATAAAGGATTATAATAAGTTGCTGGGCTCAAAAAAAACTTTCTTTATACGAATTATCTATGAAAATATTTTGTATTTATCCATTACAAATGATGATAATTCAAATAGACGACATGCCAATTGGCGGTGATCTCCATTTCGCCGATTTCGACTATGATAAATTAAGAACCATGAAAACCCGGATTCTGTTAAGCGATAGAACAAGAATTGAGAAATCGGAGGAATAAGGATTCTTTTCAACAATACTACATCTAATTGACAAAAATCTCGGTTTCGACATACTCATTCGTTCGAAACCTAAGGAATATATATTCTAAAAAGGCTGTGTGAAAATTTAAGACCGATCAGTTTAGCAGAATCGGCAAAAATCGATTTCATCAAAAACTCAACGGCTTATTTTTGTTTTGTTCATATAAATGTCGAAGCTTGCCTACTGTACAATATGAAATATGTTGTTCTTTATCAACATTGGTATATATATATATATATATATTTTGTGAATGATTATGAGAGGACGAAAGCAAAAAGCACTTTTTCCTTTCACCTTTCTGAGGTGTGTGTATGTGTATGGAAGAATGGATCTCCAATAAGAAACCGAAAAATCATCCCGTCACAGTAACCCCGCACTCTACCGACGCATCAACTAAGCTGTGCTATGTGAGCACAACTACTACGAAAATCGATGACCTTGAAAACGATACAGTTAGAAAGAAAAACAATGAAAAATTATGCACTGGTGAGAACCTTTCTATCCAAAGCAAAGCAATAGAAACGAAATCATTTGAAAGCTCCCGAACAAAGAGAAACAATTTACTTGTCATATAAGTGGTTCTCTTGCAGACCATAGCAACTCTCATTTTCTATTTTGTGTGTATGGAGTCGTCTCTTCTATACAACAAGCTTTACATACATTCATATGTTTGTGGTTGTCATAATCAAAACAACTTTCAGTGCACAGAATAGTTTCAAAAAATTTAAAATTGTGATTGTTTACAAGGGGCAGCGGAGGTGGAAGTCCCTAAACATTTGCTCGGCTAAAACTACATGCAAAGGCGATTAAATAAATTGAGGAATTTGATAATGTTTATCAAAATCATCTACTTTGTAACCAACACAGCTCTCATCAGCTGATTAGAAAAATTGGCAAACAACAGTGTTATTGAATTATCGATTATTAATTCAAAAATGTATAATGGAGACTTATTTACGGATGTGTGAAAAGTAATTACAAAAACAGTGTTATGTACCGAAAATTGATTTCTAAGGAGCGTTAAAAGAATATTCACCTTATACCGGCTGCTGTTGAAAATGTGGTAACCTGGGAAAGTTTTTATAAGACAAAGTGGTTTTTGATTGTCCTTTAGACTAGTTAGTAAACGGCTGGCTTCTAAAGAACCGTCAAGTTTTTATATGAATTCGATCCTTCAGTCTACAGCTGCAGCTGCAGAACTAAAAACCGATAAATTTATACAAATATTTTGAAATATCAATTTCACATTTGAGTAGACTATAATTGATGGGTGTAGTTTTTAGGTTAACACTTTTGTAACTAGTCTGCATGTAAGTATTACATGTGATCACTCTAATACCGAGCTGGGCCTATTACTAAAGGCTTACAAATTTTGTTGGCGGATGGAAAAACTACTCACAGTTCATTTTCGATAATTGCCCATATATTCCTGGGAAATCAGGCTGACTTATCCCGTGCACTAAAAAGAAATTCAACATAAAACGCTGAGATGTAATGTATAAGTAAATATATATAAGCTCAGTTTCCAGCAATTACTCACTCATCCAAAGCGATCCACACATTCTCGGCAGTTTTCAATAGGACCGGATTAATTTTTTTATTCGAAGGCAAACAGCTATTTTTGTAAATTTGTAAAGCACATAAAACAAGGAGTAACATTCTGACTTCAGCGCAATTGCAGGAAAACGGCTGCCATTCTAGTAACAAAAATTAATGACGCTTGTAAAAAAGCTGTCGAATAGCATTTAAATTTACCTTTATTTATGCTTAATAAATTCGATTTATTCAATAAAAGCATCATTCAAACAACCACTTGAGCAAAAATTTCGACCGAGCATCTTCCCAATTTCTAATGTTTACCTAAAACTCAAAAAAAAAAAAATTACTTCATAAATAATTAAAAGTTCACAAATAAAGGTTTCATGAAATTTTTCAAATCGAAATACAAAACCATCGATTCAACTTCAAAATTGGATTATATCTGTTGATATATATACATATAGGACCTGGTCTCAGTCCGAAATCTGGTAGGTTCTGTATTGAAGCAAAATCAGAATGTGTGTATGTATGCTTGCACTGTATTGCTTACAACGACAACATTGCTGCAATCAAGTTCAAGCATAAAGTACAGCAACAAACACTGAATAACCCAATATTAAAAGTAAATCATATATGTATAACACATATGTGTATGTGTTTAAATGTATTTTGTATATATGTATAATATGTACAAGAGCAAATTTGCTTGCTGAGAGAGCCAAAAAAATTCGTCTCGGTGCTGGCCGAGTGGGGCTAGCAATTGTGTCCAATGTCGTGTCAGACCGTACACGTAGCGCATTGGAGAGGCGACAGCAGCACCAGCAACAACGGCCCGACCCGCCACCGATACCATCACCATTCAACGCATACTCAAAGTAAGAAGTGAACTTAATTAATAAGCAAAAACTAACTGAAATGACTGAAAGTGAAATTTATTCAAATCGTTGTAAAAAATACGAAGTAAAATTGTGTAAATTGTCAATTGTGCTGAAAGTTAAATTGTTAAATTGTCGTTATATATTTATGAAACCTGCATAATTGTGGCTTTGTTTGACGAACATATTGGTTATTTTTAGGTTGTGATTTGTTGTTTAAGTTGTCTCCCTGCGATTGCTTATTGATAGTCGTCAATTTGACCGAGCAAATTTTGTTTGTCGAAAAATCAAAACAAAGCGTTCAAAATAATAGCGAAAACTTGAGAAGTTTCTTTTTTTTCATTTAAGTCGACATTTTACTTATGCGTACTTGCGTGTGAAAATATATATGTATATACATATATATAAATATATATATATTACTTTTATTTTATAAAATTTATTTGTTCAATAAAATACATACGTCCATACATATACATACATATGTGCATACATACATATATATGTACGTGTGTATATACATATGTATGTGAAATTTTATTCGTACAGACATGTACATTTATTTCTTCAATTATTTATTTGATAAAATATTATGATTGATTTACAATTTTCATTCACACAAATAAATTTTCCATGCAATTTTTATAAAACAGGAACTTATATTTATTTTCTGAATATTTGCAAAACAAAAAGCAACGAACTTAATCACTTCTGACTACACATACGAGTACATACATAAGTAAATATTATTCAAATACGCAGGTGTGTGTAAATCGTATGCAAGTGTGTATTGTGGGACTTTTCAACTTAAACACTCATATATATAATATATTTCATATACATATGTTTACACATACTCAGTTAACATTGTGTGTAAGTGTGGTGGTAGGAAGAAAAAGCTGGCAATGTTTGTAAACAAGATCATTGCAAATTTTCTCTTATTTTTCTCATAGTGTTGCCACCATTACGCTGAAATTGTCTGTGACGTGACAATGTTTTGAAATTGTACATACATATACTATGTATATTTACGATACGATGGTTCTTGTTCATTTATTTCAAGTAGATTGGGTATTTAATATAATGAAATCGTGCTTTGGTAACAATATTACCAGCTTAACATTTCTTAACAATTCTAAATAAAATGTTTTTAAGATTGCAGCCTTTTCAAAATCGGAATTAATTTCGAAACATGAACTTCTCTAGGATTTGAAATCAGGAGACTGTGCAGACTAAGATATGAATTCAATTCCTGTGACAAACTACGTATACAGTGCTTGAGTCACGACCCACAAGTAAACGACGGAGGTGGCAGAAAGGAATGAATTCAAATTTATTAATTCCAAACCAATGCTGCATATTCCATTCGGGTTTCATTTGAATAGAAATTATACAATCTTTGGGCTTTTATTTTATTGCAGCTTACTGACTTTCTATCTAAACTAATCAACCGTCTTTCTTCGTAAATTGCATGATTTTTAGCAACACTCAAACTTGTTCTGAAGCTTGACCTCAAAAACCCAAAAGTCGATTATACAACGAATCCTCCTTTAAAAATTATGTTATCAATTTGAAGTTTTTCTATAACCGTTAGCCGATTTAGTCGAATCACAATGATATTTAATATGAATTTGTTTTTAAATTTATTTTATTTTTTTTTTTGTACTAAATTTCTACTTCTTACTTGTTTATCTGAAGGTCTTCAAAAGCTTGTTCGAGATTTGATGCTTTCAAAATGTAAGAATAAGTTAACAGGATCAAGATTAAATCACCTGCTATATCTATGGAGTGAGCTTATCTTCATAGCCTTGTTATGTGTAAACAATCGAAATTATATCTTTAGAACCTGTACCATCCCATATGTGTGACCGTTCAAACGCGGTTAAAAAATCTGAGAAATCTCTGAAAACCACGTTGTCCCATCAAGTGAGCACGAAAAAGGGTTTCATGAGTAAACAAAGAGAATTTAAAAGCGGTAAAATGGGAAATGATGAGTAGCGAGCGATGTGTGCTGAATTATGTTGGCGGATTTGCTGGGAATTTCGGTGAAAGCGATGAAAGGAATGAATTTTATCATCAAGAAGCATAAACTTACTGATATTTGTATAACTTTTGACTGTAAATTTAACATTTTTTAATCTCTATTGGAAATGTTAAATTTATTTGCACAATAGGAATAGTGCATAAACCAGTTGGTCATATTTTAAGTCGGAAGTATTGCCTCCCTTCATGTAGCCTACCGTGGCCTTTGTTTTGACCAATTTCTCTTCTGCCGCATGAAACGTGATTTTGTTTCACACTATTTTTTGTTTTCCTCTACAAACATGTTTATTTAAATATATTTTGTATTAAATGAATAATATCTATAATTTATTCGTAGATTAGGTAGTTCTCTAATAGATCATAAGACTTGATAAATCACTATTATTATTATCTACTATTTCAATAAAAATTCGTTTATTGCGTTATTGTTTGACAATTTGACAATTTTTAGGATTTGATAAAACTAAAATCAAAACATGAATTTTTTTAATAACATAGGAATGATTTACTATAGCTTTACTCTGGCTTGTTCTACTAACTTGGTTTTTGTGTTTTTTGACAACAGTTATCTTCTACTCTAACTGTATCTGCTCATCCTCATTTAAAAATATTATGTGAAAGTTACCATGAAACATAGAAAAAATTTAAATACATATTTACAGAACTCTCAAAACTGTTACATAAGTAAATGAGCAAACATAGTAAAATAAAACTTAATTGATTGTGTGTAAAAGCTAAGACTTCATTCACGATACGAATTATTTAACCTCTTCAGAAGTAATGGTTTTTTTTGTCGATAGCGTCTTGACAACTTCTAAGAAGTAAAAATATGTTAGTGACATTGCTAATAATTTTTTCAAATAATTTCGCAATCAGCGCTACTGAAATCCCATTTCTATCAGAACCGGAATATAATCCCATCGAAATTGTATAATCTTATTCTTGCGTTTCTATGAAATAGAATTCGATTATCGAGTAAAAGTAGAGCTAGTTGTCACTTTAAACAGTAATCGTAATCGACTGCCACAGCTTCTATAAGCTCGATGTGGGTGTCATCATTGCTACCAATTTCACCAGTTATATGTTACTCATTTGTTAAAAATGTGAATTACAAACGTTGGTTTCGCTTTCGTTTTGAAACTTTTAACTTCATTCTCTCTCGATACATTAGCGATAACTTTGGAAGGAGTGCTGCGACTAAATAAATGTTTGCATTCATCATCGAACATCAGTTAAGTTTTTTTTTCACGTAAAAATTGTTGAAAAAAATACAGCAAAGAAGTAATTCTACACGCTTCATAACAGTCAAACCGTAGAGATACCATTAAATTATTTTTTTTTTTTTTTTTTTTTTTTGATATTCTGACAAAGGACGAACACGAATTTCAGTAAAACTTGCTTTGCAACAGTTCGTCGCTTAAGTTGTCAGGAAGGATGATTGAGGTACGAAAATGAATTTGGAAATATTTTTGCGTATTAGACGGCAATGTTAACTGAACTTTATAGAATTTCCAAGCATAATTAGTTTACTATTAGTTTAAATGCGTCCGGAAGCTTGAATAAGCATTGTGCTAGTACCAACCAGATTTTTTCCCAATATTTTGCAGCTCAGTGAATTAAATAAATTCAAAATGTGCAATGCAAGACAAAAATTACGATTTTTTTTTTTTTAAATCCAGGGCTTCAAAATTCCTAACTTCCGTCTCCATTTTTTCGTTTAACGAGTATCTTACTTAATCTTATTAAAATCACATTTAACAAATTTCTATTTGATCACTCCTCTGGCTAGTAATTATTCATATGAATTATTAATTTTAAGTAATTTTTGATTTGTTGACATAAATGCAAGCATATAATGAAATTTTCCCTGGAGGAATTCGCAACATTCTCTCTAAACTAAACGTCGCAGTTGCGCGCTCTCGGTTAAAATTTTACTGGCTTTTTCCTTTACTGCGGTTTAGTAACTTTTGTTACTGCCCATTAGGTCACCGAACAGGGCTACATTTAACATTTAAAATGTTTTCTGAGAATGCTGTTCACTTTGGTTTTGTTGTATTTAAAAGTTAAGAAATGAAAGAATCTGCAATAGGATTTTGTTTTATTTTCATATCAGGAGGTATGACCAGCTTTTATTATTTTCCAAGAATCTTTTATTTATTTTCAATCCCCTTTGGCGGAAATGGCTACAGTTTTTTTGATATTTTCTTAATATAATAAATAAATGTTTATTTGAAACAAAATATACCCTAAATAAAACCAAAACTCTATCTATTCCAGATCGTTATGGTTTAAGTTTTCAATTATAATTACAATATGATCAACACAGGAGACTTTAATGTAACAAACCGTGGTAATGTGTTGTTACCACGTGGATTGGTGCCATTGGATAAATGCAAACTTGTACACACTACGATTATACCTCAGAGCACCGGTGAGAGGTTTTCTTCCCCATATGCAATACAAACTTCCCTAAATGCCTATACCAATGATAACAAATTGCCAGCCGATATAAAAAGTGTGAAGACTAACGACATTCACTTGGTGGGACCACAGGTCCATGTCCAGTGTATTCAAAGTCATCCCACTTTGCAAAACAAAAAATGGAGTTCAACTGGCTGCAGTTTTAATAATGAAAGAGTTCGAAATGTAAATAGAATAGAAAGTGCCTTTATATTAAGCAAAACCGCCAGTGGCAATAATATTAATAACACTACCTACCCAAATACATTGAACAACGTAGAATGTGATAAGAGTTTAAACATCGGTAATCCTATGAAATCAATTCAAGAAGCTATTGCTCATAGAGAGTTAAGTGATAGGCATATGACGTCCGTTTCCAGTATTGATTACCAAGAAAATGCCTTTCACCACATCGAAGATGTGCACAATTATGCTAAGATGGATCGCTATAGTTATTCGAATGAGAGTAGCAACAGTAGTATGCATGAAGACGATAATGAAGATGAGGATGCTGACTTAGATGAAGACGATGATGCGGCTACAAACTACGAGCGATATGTAAATAAAAGCAAGTACTTTGCTGCAAAAAATGGGAAGTGCGAGAAAGCAAATACGCTTATAGTAAGAATGGAAACGGAGGAGACTGATTTACATGTTGATGTTGAGACTGTGCACCAAGTGCAGAAGGAAACTGAAGTGGCAGTGCCTAGCACACCGGATCATCATGCGCGCAGACCGATGAATGCCTTTTTAATATTTTGCAAACGTCACAGAGCAATAGTTAAAGAACGCTACAAAACTTTGGAAAACAGGTATGCATTTGCAAATGAAATTGAATTGAAATTTAACTAAACAAATACATTTCTAGGGCAATCACAAAAATACTGGGTGATTGGTGGGCTTCCTTGGATGCCACTGATAAGAAATGTTTCACGAATTTGGCGCAACAGGTATTTAAAAACTACATTTTATTTTAAGAAACAAGAAGTTGAAAATAATGATTTTTTATTTATAGAATAAAGATGCTTTTTTTAACGCCAATCCAAATTTCAAGTGGTACAAGCTTCCTGCACCTCCCCTTCGAACTCTAAGCACTCGACCAGGCAATGTTGGTCGTAAATCGGAACAGGATTATGATTTTAAATTGAATATGATGGCAGTACAAAGTGGCGTTTCTCTGTTACCAAAGTTCCCAAAGAACAGCAATCACAATTTGTTTAAACTAGCTGATGAAGCACACATGGGTGAGCTAAGTCATTTGTTTAACACCGAAAGTAACATCAATATGTGCAATGCAAACCAGAATACATTGCAGCAGGTGTTGGGGGAAACATCGCAGTTTATAAACGCATATATGTTACCCATCAACGGCACCGATGGTGACCAAGAAAGCAAAAAGCGTCTGTTAAGTGAAAACAGTTTTTCAAGTAATGGAAGTGAAGATGATACTTTGCCTAAAAAATCGTCAAGGAGTTGTAAAGGAAAAATCTATCAAGAACTTATCAATTCGGGGAAAATATCGGCAGTCTCTAAGAAAATAAAGGGGTCAAAATCACAGCACCATCTCAATGGCTTTTCGCAGCAATATATTAGTACTAATCATAGTTCTACTCAAGCTTCCCTAGATGGCTCCAAGAATCCTACAACCACATGGGCAAACATGCCGATATATAAAAGTAAATCTAAAATAAGTGAATCTTCTTACGTTGACAGTTCACAATCCAATTGTGATGTTTCAAATTTTGATTTGGAGGAAAAAATTAAGGAACTGCCAGCCCTAAGCTTAGATCTTTATTTGCAGCGAAAGCGAAACACTAAGAAGAAAAAGAAGTTTACGTCCAAAAAACGTCATTCGAATAATATATTAAGCAGCAGAAAGTCAGGGGCAAACAACGTAATGACCGCATCACCTCTATCAGCTACGGATAAGAATCGAGATGTGTCACCACAGCAGGCTGTCGGCAGCCAAAAACGAAAAGCGCGAAAAGAGAGCATCACTAGACGTGATATTACAGCCATTGAAAATGAAATTGCTTCTGTAATTTCACTAGCTAACGGTTTCAACACAGTACATGGCTGTTATTACCTCAATGAATCACTAAATGCGCCGGTACCTAAAACCATGGTATTAGGCGAACCAACGATATCCACAGTTGGAATGGAAGCGGACAATCAACATAGTCATCAATTTGGCAATTTGTACAATGATAATTCGTCTACCTCTGACTTATTCATTCTGGCCGAGGTTGCTGCCAATCGCACCGAATTAACAAATTGAAACGTGATCATATAAAATTTTACTATTTACTAAAAACCATATAAGCACCAAAAATTGATTATATCTTAAAAATGCAATTTGTTGCATTTATTCACATATGCTTAGTTAATAGATTTAATCAAAAATTGTTATTGTTTTCAAAAGTTATATTTAAACAACTAGTTTAGTATCGGAAATAAAATCTTATTATATTTTCAGAAATGTTTATATAGATACCTTATTGCAGCTCGATAGAATCAACTTCGCTTTCAGCTTTTTGCCTATTTATATTTTTCTAAATTTACTTCCTAAAAAAAATAATTTTGCAAACTAGAAATCATCGAAAATTGTACTCACAACGTTATACCTGCATTAAATTGTTAAACATTTCTTTTATGTCACTAAAAATGAAGTACAAAGAAAAAATTATTAAATTTTATCTACATTCCCGGGAGGGTTCTCATATCTCAGCGAAAATTTCGACCGAGTTTCATAGTTCGAGTTCGATACTCGACTTACGACGTTCAGCGAAGATCGTATTAAGTGGACCACTATTGTCATTTGCATGTATAATTGATTATCAATTTTCTCTTGCGCCAAGTAAAACTCATGTTCGCTACCAACTTAAATAGCATTTATATTACTCTTAATAGCGATGACAGCCCAGCTCCACAAAAGGTCAGACTCGACTCTAGGCTTATTCGCATAAAACATGCTTTGAGTTACACACCGATACAAACCAATGAAATCTCTCGAAACAAAACTCTGAAGCTAATAATTAATGTGTCTTTAAAGCTTCGTTAGTCTTCCATAATATAGCGGCGGTTAGCATTGAAACATCACACCCCGACACACTCACCGTAACCAGCTCTTTAGATGTCCCTAAAATACACTCATCTAGCCTTTCTTTCTTCTGGTTTGATCCCATCGAAACAGCTCGATTCCTATACCTCGCGTTAGATTCCCTCCATGATTCAGATTAGCCTGCTCCTCAGTCTCGCCTGCTCCTAAGCGAGGTTGGTGAACTGCTACAACAACACTGGAATATCACACTAAAGAATCACTAATAACAGCCAAGTGAGTTATAAAATCGTTGTTCACCCCAACTCCGACCCATCCCTGGTCCATACACGAGTACACAATTCTTGCATTTCGGTTATATGCAATGGCTCGAGTCATTTTAAGATCCAATTAGGCCTAAAACTTACAGGTAGTGGATCACGCGTTACATGTCCTCTTACGGCAAGCACTCAACTGTCCTCATCCTCCATTATCGCTTTATCGATGGCGAGATGAACCAAAAATATATCTATGTAGTCAGGCAATCTCGCCGTTGAATTTGCATGTACATAGACATTCCTTCCGTAACCGTCCTGATATATGTGCGTTACTGAGAGGACAAACCCATTGATTTTGGGACCGTGGAGTTCTCGGACAGATATACGATTTCTAGCGCTATTCTGCTAAAAGACATACAAATGGCAATGGTGATATACCACTTATTTATTTGGACTATCAACAGAAGTAGTCAAGTAGGAAGTGCATTTATGGTCTTAAAACATCTCCTCCGGTACAAAATGTCTACTAACTCTAGAAAGCCGTTGTTTGTTTGTGTTCTCAGATGTAAGGCTGTAATGTTAGCATTAACTTTATGATTACCTACTCCTGAAGATCCAGCGTTAATATTAGACTCATGTGAAACAAGAGCATTAACTACCTCGAGATTACCATTTTGTACTGCAGATCATTATTTACATCACTGTCACCTAACCCCTTTCCAATAAAAATATTTACTACATCCACATAGATGACCATTCTCTGCTTAGAACACTAAGATGTGATCGATTTGCAATCAAGGTGTTGACTATAACTAAATAACCATGATGGGACGCAAAACGTGAAGTTATAAAGCCTAGAGTGACCTTATGGCTTACATCTGCTCCATGAACAATAATAAAATTAACCATCTTTAAGCAATTTTCCGCAACAACAGTGGCGAAAAGCCGTCGTGCTCAATCTCTAAACTCAATAAAGTGCTGACTAAATCCAACTGACCATTCCCTGCTGCTAAATGTAGAGGTGTAAGACTAAGATGTTTCTGAGTTTCATAGTCTTCATTTAAAAACTCTCCAAAAGAGCTGCAACTGATCCAGATTATTATATATTCTATTAGTAAACAGAAAGGCCTCACATGAAGAATTTGTGTAACATATAGCATTTCGAAATTTTTAAGTAAGATAAATCTTCTTCTTGAAAAAACAATATTTGACCTACCTTGAAATCATTGTCCGACCCGAAGAGACGCGAGGACTGGGTGAAATTGCATTATATTCCCAATAGCGGAGACACTAGACGCCTTGATGTTCTCTCTTGTCACTAAACATGGTGAAAAGTGAGTAACGTCTTTACCAAAATCGAGCGCAAAGTGCCAAATCAATCAAGTCCTTTGCCACGGTTAATCACGCACGGCAACTATCAGACATCCAGCCATTTATCAAACTCTTATTAAGGAGCAACAATTCTACCGGTGAATACTATCCTTTCAGACATCTATCGGCAGTAGAAACACCATCTAGGCACATTAAAAAGACAGTACTGGACCTAACGAACTCCATTCAGCACCACATAACAAAATTGCTGGACTAGGCGAGCTACAAATTACAATAAATACCGTCCACACCTTTATTAAATATCTCCCTGAGAATGGAGTATGGCCGAGTAATACTGACACATTTTTCGTCTGGACACTGTAGTGCCAATCTATCTACCTATGTAGCTGTCCAGACTTGACAACGACTTATGCACTTAGCGTGCATATGTCCTTCATGTAATAAGTCTTATATTTCAAAAAGTCTTTTAAAACATTCAAAACAACGAAAGCAAAGCAACAAACCCTTGTTCATAAAGAAAACCAGAAACCAGAAAATATATTATATAAAAAAGCCTCAAAATTGCCTTTTTACTAAGAATAGATCTAAGCAGAGAATAGAAAACATAAAATATGGATTCAATAACAGACGTTATTAACTTACTGACCAATTTTTACAAAATCCTGTTCGCGCAGAACTCTTCTCAGTCTTTTCAGAGGAGCAATATCTTAACCAGCCGAAAACATAGCAGCTCAGCTGATACAATTCATCTTATGAAAGAGGCATAAAGCCAGTCAATTTTTCACCGAGAGAGCGCAATTTTGAGTTCCGTTGCTGGCTAATTCTTACCGAACAGAGCTATAAACTCTACCGATTCTCACCCGACCAAATGCGGAAAATTAGCAGCGAGAGAGCACAATTTAACATCTAATTCGGAGCGGAAGTTGCAAATTCGTATTGGGATAAATTTAGCCAGTAAGAATTAGTCAACGGAAATTACTTAAAATTATAATAATAAATATCAACGATTTCAATGACAATAACTCATTTTTAGGTATTCGAAGATTAATGAATTAAAAATAATAAATTTTCTATAACTTGATAGCTTGATTTAAATTTTTTTGGTTAAAGCGGCCTTCACTCGTTTGTACCTTTACTCAAAATTTTCCGATCGAAATTTCGCCATGAATCGATATACAGAATACCAATTTCGATGGATTAAGATGAACCCCAAAGATTTCGGAATATTGTTACGGAATTGCGATATGATTAAATTTGGATTCCGATCGAAGTCGGATTTCTGAAAAGCCCTATATTTTACCATTATCAATAGTACCAACAGTCCCACGTTCACGAACTGCGTACACGTTGCTAAGTGCAGGCACTGTAAGTGAAATCTTGCATGTCGTAAAACCGTATAACTTTTCTATTCTCTTTACTTTCATTTTCGACTGGTTCTCATAAACTTGACGATATGTTGTTATTTCGTTGACATGCGCACTGATGCTGCTACCTGTTTTCTTTTTTTTTAATACGCTACCACCCCCTCACTCTGCTCTAACATAGATATTCGGCTTGTTTGCCCGGCATATATGTATATGTATTTATTATATTATAAATATACACATTCGTACACACATTTACATTGGTGAGTAGATACATTGGCACTCATAATTGTGTTATGCCCTCGCCAATAGGCCTCACCACCATTCGACCGTCTCCTGCTGTGCTGAGTATCTTATGCGAGAATATTGCTATATGGAAACAAGAACCGGTATTAAACTAAATTTGTTGCCTTAAATATTCGTGCGCTCACTGAGTGGAATTCTCAGTCAGCTCAGTCAGTCTTCCTCGCCACCAGCTTTTGCCAATTTGATTGGATTCAGTTGGGCAAAATTTGGCCTTAGTCAGTCAGTCGTGCACCGTTCAGCTCGGGTCTTGTGATTTGCTGGTTGGTTGACCAAAACTTGAAAGAAGGTACATATTCTCCGCCGTTCATACTGAATATTCCTTCAATACATCTAAAGTGCTCCGTATATATAAAAGTGTACATTTGTGTACACACAACATTTATAGAACAAACGTTCACCTGTGAAAAAATAACTTTGAAAGAACATACATATAATACATATATATGTATGAACATTTTATTGAAATTTTACGGTCCCGCAACAACTCGGTGTTTAATTAGTCAAAAGAGAAATTGCTTAGATTTCTTTAAAATAAGCAACACAAAAAATTTATCGTAACGAAATTGAAATGCGTTGAGACGTTGGACCGTTGGTGTTTAAAGAATTTGGTCATGTTGTCGGTGCAATGCATTTGCAAAAATTGATTATTTAATTCACGATTTTTCGATGTTTAAGCTTTTTTAATTTGCAAAAAGTTATAAAATTGAGATTTCTACATACATACCTACATGTGTATATGCATATAATCTACATACACGTACATACATATATAGATGTTAAGAGTGGGAGAGTACAACTAAAAGGACCTGCAAAAGTTATATAACTCAGAGCAAGTATCGTAGGCACCGCTGTTATACATATATATAAGCGCATACATATCTACCTATGCATGTATATATGTGCATATGTATGTTGCACAAATGTACACATGCACGTGTATAATACTTCGTCATCGAACATGACGTTCTAGTGAGACTTTGAGTCGTTGAGCCGAATCGTTTCGGAGATATGCTGAAATTATCCATTGTCTGCGTTTATACACTAATTTATTCTAGTCGTCTAGTGACTCCCAACACACATACACACACCCATGTATACAGTAGCTACATGCATGTGAACATTCATGATTTTGTATGGAGTAAAATGTGCCTCTTAAGTAAGAGACACGTAGAATATTTGACTGCACGTTAGTAAGAGAACGATTTTTTTGCCTGAAAACTTCACAGTGATTAGCTTCCGTGCAATAAATGTGAAGCTCAATTTAATTTATTTGTTTATGGTAATTAATAGACTCTCATTATCTGAGAATTTAATACGTTTAAAGCACTTATTGATTAAATTTTTTTTTTTGACATATTGACTTACGTATTTCTCTTTAGTCTGTATCAGACACGGATTGGCGACAATAACTATTTTCACATTCGTTGCCGTGCCTTCCAAAGGCCTTGGCAGATACAACATTTTTCTTTTGCGTAACTTTGCCAGGAAAAGCCCCACACACATACACACATACCTATTCATAATTAATACTTTGCTCTCTTATGATTTCTGTTAAAAAATTAAAAATCTCTTTAATTAAGTAATAAATGCTTCGTTTTCTAATACAAATTTTGAGATCCGATGCGGATATGTGAAGAATCAATTAAGTAAAATAAACAAGAAATAAAAGTAGCTTAATGCGTGCCAAGAGTTTGGAGTTGATCTACATAGCGAATGACGTCTTGTGTTGTGTTGAGTTGAGTTAAGTTTATATAGAACTTTCTAAGGTGTTAATTGTGTATAATGTTAATACTTCAAAAAATCCTTTTGTGCCTTAATTTTATTTAAATAATGTGAAACTTTTGATATACATATGTATGCCAAATCATTTTAGCTGACCATGATATATAATCATCATACATTTTAATGGGTTTATCTCTCTTTTTTGGCATAACCCCAGTGTACCATACAATTTTTTTTTTAACATGGCACCATCTCCATTCCAGTCTGCAACTATCTTGCAGGGAAAGCCAAACTAGTAGGCGTTATTTGAAGTCATACCAGTTGGTTATTCGTAGAGAGTTACAATAATTTCTACCAGCCCTGTTGAGGTGTCCAAATTTCTTTGCACTCTACATCATAACCACAGCCTTAGTGGCTTGAGGTTAAGGGTTCAAATCTCGCTGCGGGCATAGTGGCATAGTTAGACAATTAGATAGTCCGTAGGACGTCGCCGTGTATAAAATATCAGTTGCTTATATGGGGAATAGTTGGATAATTAAGTAATTAGTGCAAAAATGCTGACCGGTTGGATTCTAGCAAACAACTAGTATTTTTCCCTGCCGGGTATGTACATACATACCTATATGCTAGTACAGATTTGCTTCGTATTCACATACATTGAATGTTAAATGCTTATTCAAACAATTTGACGCGTTAATTAAACTAAAGTGCATCTAGAGACGTTTTAAGATTATTATACATAACTATATATTTTGCAATCAGTGATTTTCCATGCATACAAGTACTGACTGCCAAAAGAGTAGCAACATAACAAGATCCCAAATTTTAAAAAAGTTCTCGAAACGCTTCTCTCAGAGTGTATTTCTGTCTTAAGCAGTATCTAGTCTCAAATATTGTTCACTTTTGTTTGAAATATATAATTTTTAGACCATTTGGCATTCATTAAGCATAAGCGTGGTCAGCATTCTAAAAAAACAAAATACAAAAAACAAAAAAACAAAAAACAAAAAAACAAAAAACAAAAAAACAAAAAACAAAAAAACAAAAAAACAAAAAAAACAAAAAAACCAAAAAAAAAAAAATATCAGAAAATTTAGCAGATCACATAATAGAGATACATATAAACAGTTTTTTTTTTGTTTTGTTTATACATTCGTTTTTGTGAAAATTTTGCTCAAAATATTTAAATAAGAACACAATAGAATGCACATAATTTTGAAAATTCACAATGATTTCACAAGTCCTTGCTGTCAAAAAATAATTATGGAAGATCAAAACATTTGTTTTAACAAAAATTTTGAAATTGATGTATAGTTTTATGTTTTTTAATATCTATTGCGTATTATTTGTGTGAGACTTGATTTTTTCCAACTAATGGAGGGATCTACAGTTTATGTATATATAATATACATAATTACTTAGCGCCAATTTTCTACAATTTTGGATATTAGCTGAACCAGGACTTCGACACTAGTCTTCAGAATAGCAGTGCGCACTGCTAATCTCTCGGCCAGTGTGGCCGCGACATATAGTTTATGCTAAGGGGCATAATGTGATTGTAGATTACTTGTGATAAATTTTCTTTAACTTATTTTAGGGTCATAATCTGCGAATTATAATAAAATATGGTTTGCTTAAATTTGAAAAAAGTTTAAAGTTTGAAATCATCACGAATCGATTAACTTGTCATCTCACCTTTATAAGCACACAAAGCTCCATATGCTTTCCAGAATTGTACATGAAAACAAAAATGGTCACGGGCTTTTTTCCTGCCAAGACCGACATCCTGCTCCTCGGCTTGACCGTTCGGAGGCATGTATGTTCTAGTCGTTAAAAAATTTTAATAGATTGTGGATTATAGGGATGCTTATGACTAAAACCTCAAACAAATCTTGAGTGGGAAAAGTTTCGGTAGCTATTTCTAGGGATGTTCTTTATCAGATTCATTTATCCATTCAACTAAAAGTTATCAAGCTTGAGCAATCCATTAGAATCTCTTCATATAAAGTTTGTTATTTAAGTATTAGTATATAGGGCGCACCTAAGCCATTGACTAGGCTCGGTACAAATTGGCAATGACGCAACAAAATATGAATGCATATACTCAATGATAAACAATATAGAATGATCAACGCAAAATGAAGCATCATACGTTGATAAATTTTATTACAAAACTGAGTTGAGTCTCTACAAGCACTAAAATAAAATAAAACATCTCATACGTTTATGAGCATTATGTACTTGATTTCGTGTTATAATATCAAAAGTAAATCCGAGCACATTAAATTTGAATCGATATTGACACCGATAATCAACAAAATTGGAGGATTCACATATATGCTTATGACAATTGATGTGACATATATGCATATTTTATATACGTGTATGAAAGAATTGTTTTTAAAACCTAATAAAAAGGGTTTTCAGTATTGATCACAAATAAAAGGACTTGTTAAATTAAGAGCTGCGAGTCGTAAGCAGGGCAAGAGTGTAATTTTAGGCATGAAATAAAAGCACATAAAAATTCATCAGGCATCCGAAGGTGGCTCGGAAAAAGGTTCACCTATTTGTTTGAAAAACATTAAGTATGTTATACTAATTGAATATGATTTGGATATCAAATTTAAAAATTTTAATGATAGTATCTAAATAGTAAATTTAAGGCTTAAAAAACTATCTGTCGAACAGAGAGAGAGTGTGCTCTCAAGCACGTTAACCTTTTTAAGAAACCATGTACGACAATACAAGATAATAAAAGAAATAGTTATTATAGTTGGCGGTCAGTTTTTACGCGAGTTGGGTAAAACATTGCATAATTTTAAGCGCGGACTAATTGGTTTCTCCCAAATCGTACCATAAATGCTTCGCAGTGCAAGTGTTGCTCCGGCGACATCAGGAGGTTTCCTGTCGCGGTCCTGTGGGCGGTGTTCTGTCAAGCCTCTAGCTTTTTCATCTGCGTCTTGTTCGTCCCTGGCGCCCAAATCGGTGCAGCATAGTTTACGACCGGCCGGCCAATTGCTTTATAAGTTGCCAGCAAAGTTTCTTGTCTTTACTCCAGGTGTTGCCGGCTAGCGCTTTGAGTATTTTTTTTCGAACAGAGGTCCTCAATATCCTAGCCAGATGCCTTGATCGTACAATCATCAGCATATGAGGTTAGGGAAACTCCTTCTGGTGGAGGTGGGAGTTTCGAAATATAAAAATTAAACATTATCGGGAGAGGACACAATCCTGCGGAACCGCCTGTTTAATTTTTCTGGGTTTTGATGTTATACCTCTGAATATTACCGATGATTGTCGACCACTCAGGTATCCCATGATCCACCTCTGCAACCCCGGCAGTAGTAAGGATTCCTCAATGTCCGTTACTAGAACTGAGAAATTGACTGTGTCAAAAGCTTTTGACAAATCCAGTGCTACCAGGAAAGTTCGCATGCAGGGTCGTTTTTTGTTAAGGCCATGGACTATCTGGGTGTTTATGACGTATAGTGTTGTTGTGGTGCTGTGCACTTTTCGGAAGCAATGCTGAGCAGTAAGGCCTCAAGTGTCTTCGCTACTGGGAAGAGG